AGACTACCAGTCCGATGGAGTCATCAGCTCTCTAGTCAGCGCTTCGATACTGACATGATTTGTTACATACCGTATTTAATTTCTTCGTTGAAAACAAAACAAGAATTGTAAACATACAAAAATAAAAAGAGGTGGAAAATACCAAAGGAACATTCAAAACTCGTGATAAACAGACGAAATGGCAAACAAAAACGAGAGACGACGAAAAAAAACCAAGCAAGTCTACAGAACACTGCATAGAAAACTTTAGACCAAACAACAATAAGGTTCCAACCACCTCGAGAAAAGGGGACCATATGTGCATTTAGCTTTTTGTTTTAAGCACCGTTTCGTCATATAGCTCCCTAAGTATCAAGTATTTATACATCATTGACTTCAAACTTATGAATATTAGCGTCCCTGATTAAGGTACGTCCGGAAAACAGCTTCGAACTCAACAAATATATAAAGTAATATTTTCGTTATATGTTTGTTTCAGTCTTGTGTTGTTGATTTTTCGTTTTCCGTCTTTAAACTATTTAACTTGATCGTTCCTAGTGAAAATTTATCAAAAAAAAAGGTTTAAAGCATTGAAACATATTGCATATTAGTCTTTGATTTACTGCAGGATCGACACCGTTCATTGTAAACTTAGATCCCCAACAGATCGTCCGGTAAACTACCCTCCCTTCAATGAGCCATGATCTATTCCAAACATTATGAAAAGAATTCATTTAGTAAATTTCAAAATGTTTACAGAATTAGGTTTCAAAATCCCTCGTGCAAAGCTGGTCGTAAAAATCGGGGTGAGACTCGGTGGTAATCAAAATCCATAAGCCGAAGAAAGACAAATAACATCATGACCAAAAGACAAATGACGAACAAACAAACAATAGTACACAAAAACACAGCATAAAAACACGAACTCATTGAAAAACCAGGTGTGGTCCAGACAATTTAGTAGTTTCTTTTCCACTAGTGGAACCTATCGTGTTGCCATTTCAATGAAAACTCCCTTGATAAGTTGCAAGCAGTGTTTTCATAATTAGGAGAACAGGGTGGGATTCAAAGAAAGGGGAAAGTTCAGACCTGAAGAAATTGGTATTATCTCTATTGTCTTAAAGTTTAGTTTTTAACCTAACATCTTCCTAAAATTTCAAGGTATAAAGCTTATCTAATTGTATCTGTAGTATCCTTTATTTCTAGGGCAATTGTTTATATGAGATCAACATTGTCACCAAATTTTGAATTAAGACGTCATTTATAAAGTAAAGCGTTTTCAATTTTTCATCCTTGTATGAAGTCTGTCGCATAAGAATACGCAAACAAGTCAGAATAAAATAGCTGATTCCTAAGGGAAAAACGACTGTCTGCTGAAAAACACATCATCAAATTTGTTTGTCTTTTGGTCATTGTTTCTGGTTGTTTTTAAATGGTGTTGTCAGTTCGTTTTCGACTTATGAGTTTGACTATCCCCTTGGTATCTTCCGCTTCTCTTTCATAAGTTTTTCAAAATCTATGAATCAATGCTATTTCTGGTGGGCGTATCATCTCACATGGCCCCACGAGCTCAGTAATCTGTACACATGTGCTGACTTGAAACATACGGCAATGTTCTCAACAATTTGCTAAGTTCATTCAAACAACTTAGTTTTTCATGTTTAATTTACATTAAATGTTTGGTTTTTAATTCCCAACTCGGAAAAAAAGAGAAAGAATACACTAACAAATGATTGTAGTAATGGGAGGATTGATATAAAGCAATGTCATTTGCATATTTGCTTTAGTCCTATATACGACCGCAGATTCATTTGCTTAGTATGTCATTCGTTTCATCAATATCTACCAGTAAAAGTTACTCTTTACTCGATAATCAATATGAGCCGATTGACAACTCACTGAGTCAGATCATCGTATCTCCTGGTGAAGTAAGGTTTTTTAGCAATATAACTGGTGCATTGATCAATAGCTTTTATATTTTTCGGTTTCAGAAGATAAGCATCACTGTCGTAAGGATGATAAAATGAATGTGTAATACACTACTCCTGTATTTGATAATTACCCGCCGACGTCAAGTACTTAGTGGCGTTTATGTTCATACATTTTTGTACTAGGCGACATCTAAGCCAGATACTCTAGCTGATCTTCATAATTTTATGCATGTATATGCTACTGCATGGATGATTTCATCGGACTCCATTTGAGCAAGTAGTGACATCGACCAAAGTAGTAGTACAAAGATTGGAAGATACCAATGGGTTGAATCACAAAACATAAGTCGATAAAAGGAAGGCAACACCAGTTTGACCTTCAATGTAATAAAAAGTGAAATAACAAAAATACCGATCTCCAAGGAAAATTCAAAACGGAAAGTCCATTATCAAATGGCAAAATCAAAAGCTCAAACACATCAAACGAATGGAAAACAACTGTCAAATTCCTATTTGGGTACAGGGATGTCCTTATGTAGATGGTGGATCAAACCTGGCTTTATAGCTAGCTAAACCTTTCACTTGTATGACAGTAGCATAGAATTCCATTATATTGACAACAATATGTGAGTAAAACAAACAGACATTATAGGTAAAAATGTCAAAAATTGGGGTAAAGCAGTCAGCTTTGTGTTATGATATTATTCTATAATAACATGAATAGTACCAAAACAGTACACAGAAAACTAAAGGTTGAGCAACACGAAACCCAACAAAATTATAGGGCTCGAGAGCTCCGAAAAGGAAGGCAGTTCCGGACCTACTTTTCCAACCGTCGTGTTCCTAGTTCATGTATTAGTATCCATCGCAGATTTCACAATCGAGGGAAAAATACTTCGAAAGTGATTATGGTCAATTATTCCCTGGAGAAGTTCCAAACCGTTTTATTGTTTAAATTTCATATTGTTTTACGATTGCGAATTGATCAAAATGTGCATGGAAACGATGATCATTGCCAAAATATATACATTATTTTGCCAATATGGGCGAATGATAACCTCTGGAAAACTATGGGGTGGGTGTACATGAGATAAATATCTCATGATAAAATATTACGTAATAACCCGTATAACTAGAACGCGGTGTCGCTCCTTAAAACTGTCCACTTACTTCAGTAGATAAAAATGATACGAACATTATGTACAGACATTTAAACATTGCCTATTAACACAATAACAATGATATTGCTAAAATCAATTTTTAAATGCTTTTGATATTCGGCAAATTATATAATATATTGCCATTCGTATGCTTATGTTGTAAAAGTTCGTAGACTTGAAGGGTAATCTTGTTATTTAAATTCCGCAACAAAAATATTTGTATTGATATAGAAAATTATCCATTTCTCTTTTATATTTATACAATAAAAATGTCAATAGAAGAGTATGAATTTCAATATCAATTATGTCGAAATATTCAGTTGGAACTACATTTTACTATTATGTCAAAAGAGTCGGCACAAAGTATCATTTTGTTTAATTTTCAGTGTAATCAATCTTTTTTAATTGAATTCATATTTCGTAATTCTATATTAATTATCTGCATCTCAACATTTAACACTAAAATGCATCATTTGACGATATGGTGATTAGAGATCAAATACTAAGTGAAGATAAACATCTCCTGTTTGCGATATAAAATATCATCAGTAGATTTAAAATCTTTATACACCGTCATTAAGTCAGTTATGTTGTATGTCTCTGATGTATGTTTTGGACAGTTCTGGCGGCTGGGCCCAAATTATTGTCACATTAACCTTTTATGTCTGTTTGTGTTGCTGTTCCAATGTTGTCAATATAACGGAACTATAAACAGCTGTCATACAAGATGGAAGTTTAGTTAGCTATAAAACCAGGTTTAACCCATAATTTTCTTTGGGAAATGCCTGTACCAAGTCATGAATATAACAGTTGTTTTCCATTCGTTCCGTTGGTTGATAAAAGTCTAATGTTTGATTTTGTCAGTTTTTATTGACTTCCCCCTTTTTGAATTTTCTTTGAAGTTTGTGGTATTTTTTATATACTTTTTTTGTTAAAGGACTCGAGACTGTTTTAGCAAAAACAGCTATAATAAAAAATGCTAACTAGTCATGAGGATTTTTGTCAAACTTTATCGTACGATTTTTGTGAAAAGAGTCGTTGAAAATAATAGTTATATGCATCACTCAGAATTCAAACTCTGGAAGAAAGATAAATATGTTACATCAATATTTAATGAGTTTTGATATGTTTTTGTATGCATAAATTCTTTCCGTTTTGTTGTTGTTGTTGTTTTTATATTAATGTATATAACTTTAAAACCGATACCCAAAACAAGTGCGGCCTGGTATTTGGTTGACTTGAATTTGGCGATAATGTTAGTACATACCGTTTACTTCGTTGTAACGTTGTGTCACGGAATGTGAAAATCGATGTCACTATCCCTATAGTAACTCCAATGATGAAACCATCGGCTTGTCAGCTTGTTTGAGCTTATGATTGTATTACATTTTTGATCAACAAATTACTAAGACATTATCAGGGATTATCGATGAGTTTTGAAAAGTATCCCTTATGCAGGAAAACCAATCGCCGTACAATGAGAACTATTTAGATGATATAAAAATAATGGGATGTAGTATGATTGCTGATGAGACAACTATCCACCACAGTTCAAATGACATAGATATAAGTAATTATAGGTCACCGTACGACCTTCAATTAGAAAAATCCATGCCGTATAGTCCCGTTATAAAAAATGTGAAACAATTCAAACGAGAAAACCAACAGCCTCATTCATAACAATACAATTTACGAAAAACAAATATGACGGACTTGAATCAACAACAACCACTCAATGACGGGATCCTGACTTGGGACAGGCATAAACAGGATGTGGCGGGTTTAAACATTAGTGAACGCTCAATCCCCCCTAACCTGACTTCAATCGTCGAATGCTTTCAAATCATTGTCAAAACGAAGAAAAGAAATATACGTGTTGTTCCTTTACTGTAGTGATCATTACCTGGTTTGGTTAAAGAGTTTTATGATATTCAGTAGACATTTTGTATAATTTAGATAAAACATTCAACAGTTTTAAATCAAGATATCAGCTATACATGCACATATCTGCATGCACATTTAATTAATATAAAAATATAAATATAAAATAAGATAAGATATGAGACAACTATCCATCAAAGACATAAGCCTAAGAAAAATGATGCAAATTTAATTTTGGAAAAGAAAACTTATTAGCCATGAAACCCGTAGTAATTAAAATTAAACAACGTTTCAAAAAAGCAAAGCATATCAAGAATACATTAATATCGATATTAATATGTAACTAATTTACTTCAATGTAACTGCTGTGTCATAAAATGTTTAACAATTAATTCAATCATACTTATACTGTTATCACATATGAATAGACAGACATATTCTACTAAAAATAGACAGACATATTCTACTAAAAATATGCATTTTTTTTTAAATTATCTCCCATTAATTACTCTTATATTAATAGAAAATATGACAAATATTTTTATAGAGTTATTTTTCGTCTTTTCTTTCTTCGTGCTTGACTGGTCTGTCGCCTGTTTTGTATAATCATTTTCATTCTTTAGAAGAAGCTCAATACAAGTCGAGAATTTATTCTGTATCCTATATTTGATGTTGTTTTTAGTTCTTCAATCAAGATAAAAATGTCATTACGGACAAAACTATCATCTGTTTCACTACGAATGCTTGTATATCAGTCAAGCATTGTGAGTCTACCATCTCCAAAATTCTAATCCTTGGTGTCACTATTATATCATTTGCAATTAACGAAGTTCCTCGATATTAGCATTATTAACATCATTCTTGGTTATCATTGGAATCACTGTAAAAAAAAAATTAGAAGCTAATCATATTAACCATAGGTGTTTTACTAGCTAGTTGCCGAACATATCTTGTCAAGTATAAAACATATTATATTAAGCATAGGTGATTTACTAGCTAGTTGCCGAACATATCTTGTCAAGTATAAAACATATTATATTAAGCATAGGTGTTTTACTAGCTAGTTGCCGAACATATCTTGTCAAGTATAAAACATATTATATTAAGCATAGGTGATTTACTAGCTAGTTGCCGGACATCTCTTGCCAAGTATAAAACATATTATATTAAGCATAGGTGTTTTGCTAGCTAGTTGCCGGACATCTCTTGCCAAGTATAAAACGTATTATATTAAGCATAGGTGTTTTGCTAGCTAGTTGCCGGACATCTCTTGCCAAGTATAAAACATATTATATTAAGCATACTGTAAATTCAGAAATTATTGCGTGCATATATTATTGCGATTTTGTCATTTTAGCCTAAAATGCGATTTTAATTTTTGCGATATTGAGAAAAATCCTGTTTAATTCATACAACAAGTTTCAAAATGCGAGTTTAAATTATTGCGATTATAACCCTGTCGCATTTTTCGCAATAATAAAAACATCGCAATAATTTCTGAATTTACAGTAGGTGTTTTGCTAGCTAGTTGCCGGACATCTCTTGCCAAGTATAAAATATATTATATTACGCATAGGTGTTTTACTAGCTAGTTGCCGGACATCTCTTGCCAAGTATAAAATATATTATATTACGCATAGGTGTTTTGCTAGCTAGTTGCCGAACATATCTTGTCAAGTATAAAACATATTATATTAAGCATAGGTGTTTTACTAGCTAGTTGCCGAACATATCTTGTCAAGTATAAAACATATTATATTAAGCATAGGTGATTTACTAGCTAGTTGCCGGACATCTCTTGCCAAGTATAAAACATATTATATTAAGCATAGGTGTTTTGCTAGCTAGTTGCCGGACATCTCTTGCCAAGTATAAAACGTATTATATTAAGCATAGGTGTTTTGCTAGCTAGTTGCCAGACATCTCTTGCCAAGTATAAAACATATTATATTAAGCATAGGTGTTTTGCTAGCTAGTTGCCGGACATCTCTTGCCAAGTATAAAACATATTATATTAAGCATAGGTGTTTTGCTAGCTAGTTGCCGGACATCTCTTGCCAAGTATAAAACATATTATATTAAGCATAGGTGTTTTGCTAGCTAGTTGCCGAACATATCTTGTCAAGTATAAAACATATTATATTAAGCATAGGTGTTTTACTAGCTAGTTGCCGAACATATCTTGTCAAGTATAAAACATATTATATTAAGCATAGGTGTTTTGCTAGCTAGTTGCCGGACATTTCTTGCCAAGTATAAAACGTATTATATTAAGCATAGGTGTTTTGCTAGCTAGTTGCCGGACATCTCTTGCCAAGTATAAAACATATTATATTAAGCATAGGTGTTTTGCTAGCTAGTTGCCGGACATCTCTTGCCAAGTATAAAATATATTATATTACGCATAGGTGTTTTACTAGCTAGTTGCCGGACATCTCTTGCCAAGTATAAAACATATTATAATAAGCATAGGTGTTTTACTAGCTAGTTGCCGGACATCTCTTGTCAAGTATAAAACATATTATAATAAGCATAGGTGTTTTGCTAGCTAGTTGTAGAACATATCTTGTCAAGTATAAAACATATTATATTAAGCATATGTGTTCTACTAGCTAGTTGCCGAACATATCTTGTCAAGTATAAAACATATTATATTAAGCATAGGTGTTTTACTAGCTAGTTGCCGGACATCTCTTGCCAAGTATAAAACAAATTATATTAAGCATAGGTGTTTTACTAGCTAGTTGCCGGACATCTCTTGTCAAGTATAAAACATATCATATTAAGCATAGGTGTTTTACTAGCAAGTTGCCGGACATCTCTTGTCAAGTATAAAACATATCATATTAAGCATAGGTGTTTTACTAACTAGTTGCCGGACATCTCTTGCCAAGTATAAAACATATTATATTAAGCATAGGTGTTTTACTAGCTAGTTGCCGGACATCTCTTGTCAAGTATAAAACATATCATATTAAGCATAGGTGTTTTACTAGCAAGTTGCCGGACATCTCTTGCCAAGTATAAAACATATTATATTAAGCATAGGTGTTTTACGAGCTAGTTGCCGAACATATCTTGTCAAATATAAAACATATTATATTAAGCATAGGTGATTTACTAGCTAGTTGCCGGACATCTCTTGCCAAGTATAAAACATATTATATTAAGCATAGGTGTTTTGCTATCTAGTTGCCGGACATCTCTTGCCAAGTATGAAACGTATTATATTAAGCATAGGTGTTTTGCTAGCTAGTTGCCGGACATCTCTTGCCAAGTATAAAACATATTATATTACGCATAGGTGTTTTACTAGCTAGTTGCCAGACATCTCTTGCCAAGTATAAAACATATTATATTAAGCATAGGTGTTTTACTAGCTAGTTGCCGGACATCTCTTGACAAGTATAAAACATATCATATTAAGCATAGGTGTTTTACTAGCTAGTTGCCGGACATCTCTTGTCAAGTATAAAACATATCATATTAAGCATAGGTGTTTTACTAGCAAGTTGCAGGACATCTCTTGCCAAGTATAAAACATATTATATTAAGCATAGGTGTTTTACTAGCTAGTTGCCGGACATCTCGTGACAAGTATAAAACATATCATATTTAGCATAGGTGTTTTGCTAGCTAGTTGTAGAACATATCTTGTCAAGTATAAAACATATTATATTAAGCATATGTGTTCTACTAGCTAGTTGCCGAACATATCTTGTCAAGTATAAATCATATTATATTAAGCATAGGTGTTTTACTAGCTAGTTGCCGGACATCTCTTGCCAAGTATAAAACATATTATATTAAGCATAGGTGTTTTACTAGCTAGTTGCCGGACATCTCTTGTCAAGTATAAAACATATCATATTAAGCATAGGTGTTTTACTAGCAAGTTGCAGGACATCTCTTGCCAAGTATAAAACATATTATATTAAGCATAGGTGTTCTACTAGCAAGTTGCCGGACATCTCTTGCCAAGTATAAAACATATTATATTAAGCATAGGTGTTTTACTAGCTAGTTGCCGGACATCTCTTGCCAAGTATAAAACATATTATAGTAAGCATAGGTGTTTTGCTATCTAGTTGCCGGACATCTTTTGTCAAGTAAAAAAAAAAAGTTTGTGTTGTTATGGCCATCAACATATTAACTAAATATACATGTAGAAGTAATGTAGTTTATGTATTAAAGATGGTTAATATTCTATTTAATTTATTTTCAAACGCCATCTGGTATGGAGTATTGTTATTTATTCATTTATTTGCAATGTAAGATATCTTAAAAATTACTGTATAATTAATACTATCTATATATGCATATGCTCGGAAACGGGCCCTTTAATTGGATTCAATAAAATATTCTTAATCTATTGATGTTCCAGTCCCAATTCGGGAACCACGTCAGTCGATGCTGATATAAAATCCTTGTTTATGTTATATTTTTGATAATTTGGTATTGGTGGCAGGTCTTTGACATTTCTGTTTAAATCATTCACAACACCTATTAAAGACTTTCGAGCTTGTCATTTGTATAGACACTTGTTTGTGGCTGAAGAATGTGTGTTGTCCACAAGTGGATAACAATTTGGTTATTTTGTCGTTTGGTTTTTTCTCATTGACTAATATCACCATTTCATTATTTGTTCATACACGAGAGAGACCTATGCCAGGGTTCGTCTTAAATTGCATAGACCCACAAGCTGTTGCTCCCTATTGAATACCCTATTATGACTTTGAGAAGAAGAAAGCAATAACAGCGAAATTTTAATGGTTTGTTAAATGCAAGTAGTAATTCTGTGTCATGAAGTAAAACACCATATTCTGTCTTTCCCATTACTGTAATTTGATTCAAAGCTGTGCGTAACCATCATATAGTGAGTGTAAAACATACAAATTATGTTATCCATTCGTTTGATGTGTTTGAGCTTTTGATTTTGCCATTTGATTAAGGACTTTCCTTTTTGAATTTTCCTCGGAGTTCAGTATTTTTGTGATTTTACTTTATACAATAGAATATTACAATATGAAAATGTGGAACTCTCTACTATAGATCAAATGAGGTTTAACACAGAAATACTTACACATATTAAACACTCTGATGAATGGTCTTAATATACATCCAACAATTTCTAACAACAAGACAGCCACAATAGCAAGAAAATATCCGAGTATAACAGTATAACCCATCTTGATCATTTAGGAACAAACTCTCTTCATCCAGCATTCCCAACCATTTCATATACTTTAATAAACATTACCTCTTATTTTTAATCACCTTTCCTATTGTAAAGCTAATTTTCGCTAAGTTGAACACTTTTGTAAATATATGCAGCGGACATTTACAATTTAATCCGAATTATAGGTTAATATTCTCTGTGTCAATTTATATCGAACAAACCGAATACTTGTGATCTTTCCATATCCTTATCAGAAAATATCAAAAGTTCAACGAAGGATAAATAAACCTTATTTCATGTATTTTTTCTTGGTTTTTTTTTTTGGAGGGGGGGGGGGGGGGGGGGGAGGGAGTGGGAATATTGAGTCCAAGTTTTTTTTTTTATCTTACATTGATTTGTTTGTTAAAATACGCATGAAAGTTCGGCCTTGATAGTGTTGGGACCTTTCATGCAAATAAAAGCTATCAACTCAAATAAGTTGGTCAATATCTAGGGCCAGAATGATTTGGCCAAAGTGTATGATGGTATCTACATCGTTGAAACTTCTAGCAAATTTGGAGGACATGCAGTGAATCCATAATACAGATCAACACAGATTTAGAATTTGCATGGAAAGAAGAAAAAATGTGATAGAGGTACACGTTATTTGCTATATTTTTATTAGATAAAAGAACAGCGTTCCAACGTCCCCTGCCAATACATATACTTATATGTCCAAGGGCAATAAATTCATAATAAACTATTGTTCTTTTAAACTTTTTCATAAATATCCTAAAAGAAATGCAATTTTACAAATAATTTATATTTCCAAGAAGCATGACTCCTTTAAATGTAGTTGTTTGACACTTATTTTCGAACTTGTCCGAGACATTGCCAAAAAACTTTGATATAAATTTCATACAACTTAGAGCGCATGCAAGAGGGTTTAGATGTGGGTCCTACATTTCCGTTTTCTTTATTTTTTAGACCATTTTTCTCTATTTTTTACTTTTTGCCCATTACTCTCTATTCTTTATCACCTCACTATTCTCTATTCTTTCTTTTGTTGGTTCATTTTTCACCTTACTTTATATTTTTTGCCCATTATTCTCCATTCTGTAAACCATCTACACCCTCATTAAATGCAATCTTTTAAAGAATTGTCATTTCCAGTGGAACGAATGGCAGGCCGATATTACTATGCCCCCCGTACGGTCTTGCGCGGGAGACAACAACAACAAAATCCCCCCCCCCCCCCCCAAAAAAAATAAATGCTCAAACCTACAGTTGGCAGGTAGAAATACAGAGTTACTACTCACTGTAGGGTATGCAAGTACTAGTATTGATTTTTGAGGCATCATAAAATGCATATCCTTATCTCCAATCAGAAACGCCCAAAATAAATACACACAGAAAACAACATACATTGTTGTTTTATCCTATCCTACATCGATCTTTTGCAGTTATCCCTTACCAGAGCAAAATAATTTCTAAAATTGTGCAATAGTAAAATCTTATTTTAAACGTCAAAAAGAAAAAAAAAGAAATCTTAAAGGGCCCAAAAGAACAGTCAAAAAGACAAAAGCCGCTTTGGCTTGTAGGGATGGGAATATTCCTTTCATGAGTATTAACTTATTGTTTTGACTAACTGGAAATTGATAAGGACTTTAGGCGAATACATTCCACTCCCATCCGAAGTATTTCGATACATGGGTGTTGCAGTTTTTTAAGACTTTTGAAATGCCAAATAAATATTGCATCAGTATTATCATTCAATAGATTAGAAGTAAATTCTACACGAAAGCTATATCACACGATGTATAACTCACCTGGGTGTGAAATGCGAACAAAGTTTAATCCGACAATAAATAACATGTACATGACAATCATCAACAATATAGGACTTTTGGGATCCAAATCTGCCCCTAGTGTTTTCAGTATATCATACATGATGGTTATAAAACAGGATAATGATTATCAGTGACTTATATGATACTGGAGTGGCTCATTACCTAAAGGAAGTAATGTTGTACTTATATAGTCATTGATAAAATAATAACGTTATTCAGATTAAAATACTTAACGAAAGAAAAGACAAAGCGGGAAAAATGTAATTTAAACTCAAACTAATTATGTTTACGATAGTATGTTCAACAGTTATCAAACCTTCCATTGCTAGCATTTGTAGATCACAAGCAAATTAACAACCTTTACTGAGAAGCCACGATCAACCTATGGATCAGAGAATTGCAGGATCCCCTATCCCTACGAATATAAAAACAAACATTGATAAGAATGACTTGAACTCCAAAGGTTGCCGGGGTAAAAAATATCGTTAAAGGACTTTTCCTGTCCGACATTTAGATCTGTGCTAAAAATGAAACGTCCGTTAGTTGTGAGGAATGTTTAAATACGAAGTGTGTGTGTGTCAGTGAGGGGGGGGATTAAATCTCAGCATATAAACAATCCTTGCAATATCATTTTGAGTGTTCCGTTGAAGATCAAGTGCAAGCTAAAACTCTACTGCTACCCAACATATATCTTTTTCCTAAGGACAGTCTAAATTGCACAGTCCTTCATCCCGGCTGACCTACTATCTACCTTATTGATAAACTGTTAATTTGTTGTCCTGAAAAGGCATAAACTCTTAACCGATCGAAGTTAAACAATCAACCAATATATCAATCAATCTGTCTGAATGATCGGAATGAAAAAAGAAACATGAAACATAACAGAAAATGTTAGATAGTATTAGAGTTTTAACTTCCTAACCAGGTTAGAGTATTAACCACTAGTTATTTTTAAACGTCCCAAACAACACTACAGTATAAAATCAGTAAAAAAATCTATTTGGCCTATATAAAACACATCGGTTACATTTATACTAAGAAATTTCTAAATATTTGTACTCCAGGAATAGATTACCTTAACTGTGTTTGGCAAAACCTTTTGGGATTCTGGGTTCTTACTGCCCTTCCACTTTATACTTCATTCGGCCTTTTAACTTTTTTTATTCAAATGTTAACTGAGTCTGACACACAAAGGTTTTGCATATCTTTGATGAGGTTGTTTTATGAAGTCGAAATGGATACTTTCACAGATACAAAGAACGGGAAAATGAAGGCATTGTGGTTTTTATTATAAAATGTTCCATTTTTTTTTCTAACCGCAGTTTAAGTTGAAGTCCTGAGCTCTCGCTTAAATAACTTTACTTAGTACTTCGAGTACAAAATTTGTGCTCGAAACACCATATCCAGTATTTTGATTGGTTTGTTTCTGAGTTTTAGTACGATAATTGTGCTCGAAATTGGTAAGTCATTTTGTGTCAAGAATTTGCAATGCCATTTGGGCAGAACTATAAAGAATTGTATGTTAGTTGATATTGATACGAAAGTGATAGAGGAATACCATATTGAAAGTTTTATTTACCAGTAATCAAATTACAGAATGTCTTTTGTCATTTAAACTGGAACAGTCCACAAAATAAAACAAGAAGTTTCAATATTCTGATTTAGATTACAATAACATGTTGTGAGGTTGTGAATGTTTTAGATTATAACAGAAGATTTACGTTGTAGATATTTCATATCGTTTGGATAGTCTTTTGGTGTATCGTAAATTATACCATGGTTTTTGTTGAAACCCCCGGTCATAACCTCACGAGACGAAGTTACTGAACATAACATGGTTTAATTCAAACTGATGTCTTATTCTTATGATTTTAGAAGATTTTTTAAGAGAAAAATTGTATGAAAGCTTAGTATGGACATTTTTATAGCAATTAAAAAAATACCACCTCTCAACTTTCGAATGACAATAACAATAAAAGAATGTATAGAAATTCTTGTACACACTTTCTTAATATCAGTGAAGTGGAATTAAAGTCTAACAGGATTGTAAGTATGCTTTATTTTATCACATTGCATTTTCACAACTTGACTTTGGTTTTCTACAGCAGTTTGATAAGGTGAATAATTTAGTTTGAGAAAACAAATGGCAATTTGGTCAGAATTTTGAATAAACTGCAATAGGCGGAGAGCAACACTTACAGCCAAGTCACAGTAAATAATTTTAAAAATATTTTATAAATATTCTAATGGTATTTTTTAAGCAATATATATATTGATGGATTTCTACTTACAAATTCCAACCAAGGTTCCATTTGTTTCTAAGAATTGCTGGCTCTGCTTCTCTTGATATACATGTGTCCTATCCTTCAGACTGAAAGTCCCAATTGCCTCCACCAACAGTAAGCAAATTGTTTATTATAGTTACATGTGTAAATCAACATAAAACCTATTCTTTATGGAAATAAATTAATTGTAAATGAATTCATAAATATCAAAAGAGCCTAAAATGTCTATATAACAGTAGAAAAAATATCATCTGCTGCACAGGAAGTGAACTAATGTAACCATAGTAGGCCCGATGTGAATGGATTAAAAATTCAAAATAAAATAAAATTAGACAAATGATTTTGTACCAATAGTTTTTTATAAACAAAACATATTTAAAAACGAAAAAGATTAGGACCAATAAATCAATAAAAAATATCCTGAGATGTTAAAATATCAAATTTGAAAGAGCTATCTTTCTGTGATCATATTTCAGATGCTTTAGGTTTCTAAATGGATATTGTAAAAAACACAGCATAGTAATAGGCTACAAATGATTTTTTTTATATATCATATGTAGAAATGTTCCATCTTTCCACATTTCATAGAGTCTTGTAATTGTAATCAAGTGACCAGATAAGTTAATTAGCTTCAAAGATACACTTTTACAAAGGGGGAATAGGGAACAATTTGTATAGTGCTAACTTTCTAAGGAAAAATCCCAAACCATACAACAAAAATCGATATTGCTGAAAACCGTTTAACTTGACCAAAAACACTCAATATATCAAAATCTTATATTAACTCTTGGGATTTCTATAATATGAAAAGTGGTTGCTTTAATTAGTTATCATAGGTACCAGGATTATAATTTAATACGCCAGACGCGCGTTTCGTCCACATAAGACTCACCAGTGACGCTCAGATCAAAATAGTTATAAAGCCAAACAAGTACAAAGTTGAAGAGCATTGAGGACCCAAAATTCCCAAAAATTGTGCCAAATATGGCTAAGGTAATCTATTCCTTGGATAAGAGAATCCTTAGTTTTTCGAAATATTCAAAGTTTTGTAACAGAAAATTTATAAAAATGACCATATAATTGATATTCATGTCAACACCGAAATGCTGACTACTGGGCTGGTGATACCCTCGGGGACGGAAACGTCCACCAGCAGTGGCATCGACCAAGTGGTGTAAATAGTTATCATAGGTACCAGGATTATAAAATCATTTTAACACTATTTTGCACTTTCAAAACAGTTCGAAAAGACAAAAGGCCAAAAATAGTGACTAGTTACCGACAGACAACACAGAGTAAACAGATTAAGAATACCGGCAATTTTCAAAAGAAAGGCGAAAGATACCAAAGGGACATTCAAACTCACAAGTTAAAAACAAACTGACAATGTCATGGCTAAAAAAGAAAAAGACCAACATACAAAAACCAGTGCACAAATAACAACATTGAAAACTATAGACTGAGCAATACGAACCCAACCAAAAACTGGAGGTCATCTCAGGTGCTCCGGAAGGGTAAGCAGATCCTTCTCCACATGTGGCATCTGTCGTGTTCCTCGTGTTAATACACATACGGTAGGCAGGTCACATTCGGGGAAAGGGGGACGGGATTGTAGTTACGACAATTAGAACATATCCGCTATCATCTGTGAAACGGATATTCCATAACTGTCAACCAACTCGTGATGGCGTCCGTAAATTTACTAAGGATGACTTCAACTTCACCACTTGGAACTCTTGATTTAATAGCTTCCTTGTGAGGAACAACCCTCTATCAAAGAAATCATGATAGGAAATGCAAGCCCTGGAATATCGTATCAATTGGGAGAAATATACTCCGTATGCAGGCGCTGCTGGAATGTTGTTACATAGAAATGGAAAGTTCACAATTGGGAAGCTGATATCATCCCTTTTGTCGAAAAGTTTTGCTTTCAACCGGCCCTCAAGGAAGTGTTTGTCATTATGCCGTCGCATATATCCCATTTTGAGATCCTTAAAATATCCATGAAGACGCTTTGAATACGTGGAAATCGGAATGAACTAGGTTTTTTTTTTATTGCTAATTCGTTCGAAAGTCCTTTCAAGTTAGAGACAAAGTATGCTTTTGTTTTTATTTTAAATTTCAAAATAATGTAATTCCATTGAACAATCCATAGTCTGTGTTCTTAAATGAATTGAAATATAAACGCAGCGGTCCACCAAATGACTGACTAACAGTTGCTTGAAATATAGCACGACTAGTTTACCATATCTTAAATACAAACTTTTATCCGAATTTTGAATTAACTGTAATAGGTAGAGAGCAACACTTAAAGTAAGTCACAGTAATATAATGTATTCCCTTTATCATGTTTACAAATGCAGTGTTCCATAACAAATATAACAAAGATTCGCAAAATGCTGTTCAAAAAGCTTTTTCTGGCCTACAATTAGATGAGACTTTTTAAAGGCCAGTGCAACTTTCGTAATAAAGGCATTGGTTCAGAATGGTAGGACACAGGGTTCAAACGTAAGAATATCCAAAGGGTTGAATAAGGTATAGAAATATGGTCACCCCTGGGTTTTCTTCCAGTAAAACCGTTGCAAAAGTCCGGTGTCCGTTTGCTGTGCAGGATGTATATATTTGCAAGAACGTCTATTCAGATTGGGGGCATTATATCTGATGCCATACGAGTACATTGTATACGCATATGGTCACGACCATACGCGTATAGTCCAAATACTCATATGAAAACGTGTAAAAATAATATGCATGGGTGTATATTATGTATTTAGTTAAGTTGATTAGAACTTTAGTGAAAGAACAACCAGATTTACACAGTTCAAAAGATTTCAACATT